GTGGCCCCACCCTGAAGCCCCCATGCCCTGCCCCTGGGGCCCGGGACCCTGTGGAACTCCTGCCAGTCCAGCAGCTCCCAGCCAGCAGGGCCGCAGCAGGGACGGTGCCCCGGGGAGGCCCAGGAGGAGCCAGGAGCTGGCCAGGGAAGCAGGAAGGCGGAGGGTTGCTTCTCAGCGGAGACATACCCCAGCCTGGGCCTGCGCCTGGGGCTGACTTCCCCAGGACCTCATGTCTAAGAGCTGAGCCTGAGCGCATCCGTGGGCGGAGGCTGCGCCTGCCTAGCCCAGCCGGAAGCATGGACTCGCCAAGGGGTGCTGCTCGCCGTGCGGACCAGCTCATTGTGGCCGCGTGCTTGGCTGCTGGTGGGCACCGATGCTGGGTTTCCTGGCTGGGGCAGGGCAGCCTCCGGGGTCAGGCCCTGTTCAAAGCGCTTTACTGCCTCACCTCCCAACAACCTCGTGAGTTAGAGACTCTCGAGTCCCAAGTGTGCAGGTGGGGAAACTGAGGCACAGAGCGTTAAGTGCCTTGCCCAGGCTCAGACGCCATTGGAGGTGGGTTCAGCCAGTGGGCGTGTTACCTGGAACCACGCTTGGTCCCATTCCAGCTGCCTACTCCCGTGTCCCCAGCTCAGAGCCTCTGAAAGCTGCGAGACTTCAAGTCACACTTTCAGGGCCATTGACAAACCTGAAGGCTTGGCCACTGACCAGAGGGGAGGACCCGTGAGCTGTGCTTTGGCGCACAGGGAGGGGACTGATTCTCGGAGAAGACGGGAGGTGGCAGCCTCCTAGTGGACTTTTCCCTGGGCTGCTCCGTGCCAGCACTCGTACCCCGAGCGGAAGCTTCAGGGGCTGGCTGCATTATTTCAGACTGAGGGCGACCAGGGAGTGGGGCTGTGTGGGGACAGAGTGGGAGCCCGGGCTGCGAGCTTGGGGTGCCGGTGAGGGGTGCCTGCAGCAAGTGGGGTGGTGGGTCTTTGACCTTGGGAGTCCTTTCTAGCCCGGAGCCTCTATCCATCTGTCATTCGGGGTGAGTAGGATCAGGCTCACCTGGCAGTGTCACTGGAAGGGCCCCAGCCCCCCAGACACGCCCAGCAGGCAGGATCGCTCAGCGAGAGGAGGGGCCCTGACCCCCCACAGCTCTACCTCTGGCAGGTGTGTGTCTGAGATCTTGGGACCTGAGTCACGCTCCAGAGCTGGGCCTCCTGTGGGTGGATTTCCCTGCTGCTTGGGACCACCTGGGGGCTTGACTGTCCCTCTTCATGGGTGGGCGTCGGCTCCCCATGCCTGGCCAAGGACCCAGTGATGGGCATTGCGATGATATAAGTCTCCGGGGGCCACCAGGGCATTCTTTCCAAGGAGACAAGCTACCCCGACCCCTGCTGACCAGGAAAAGGGTGTCTATGCGGGAGACGTTCGTTCTCTTGCATCTTCACGCAGCCTGGCCTCTCACAGGTGTGTGTCCGGGCAGGCCAGCACCTTGTGCGGGGCAGTGACGCTCACGGGCCTGCTTTTCACAAAGTCCTGGTGTCGCAGCGCCCAGTTTATTCCGGCCTCACTGCTCAGTGTTCTGAGACTTCACACCACGGGTGCCTCCTCTCTTCTCAGCAGCGTCCCTCGCCCAGGTCCCTGGGGAGCCAGGGACTGTTCAGCTGCGGGGGACTGACCTTGGGCGCCATCCCAGTACCTCTCCGACCGCAGCAAGGCCACAAGGCACCTGGGGAGGGTGCTGACACGGGCCTTCTGGGTTGGTGGGGCCGGGTGGGGGCCCGGATGCTGCGTTTCTAACAGGCTTTCTGGACGGGGTTGCTGCTGGGCAGAGAGGGCCTCGCTGTCATTTTACAGACATGGAAGCTGAGGCTCAGAAGGCCTCCGTGCCCTGCCTGCCCGTGCCCAGGCCATCCTCTCCCTTAAGGAGGGCCCCCTCCCTGTCAGCTGCCACTTCCTGCTCAGGCTCCTGGCTCCAGCATCAGCAACATCCCATCTCTGTCCCGTTTCACTGTCAGGGTGAGCGCTGTCTTGTGCCACCAGGCCCCTTGCTGCACAGCCTGTGTTCTGCTGTCTCCTCTCCCAAGGGGGTTTAAAGGCTTTATTGGTTCTGAGTTACGGACACCTCCCTGTCTCTGCTAGGAATGTTAAAAGTCATTTTTCACTTTCAAAAAGCAGAGTGCTGGGCATCCAGGCTGGAGACCCGATGCTGGGCCAAGTCCACGTGGCCTTCCCTGCCTCTTGGCACCTTCCTGGAGTGGCCTGAGAGGTTCCCCGTGTGTCCCAGCTGCCACCTGCCACCTCCTGAGGCCCAAGCTAGAGCCTGGCTGTGCCTCAGTTTCCCTGACTCTCAGGTAATCCAGAGCCAGTCCCAGAGTAGCCCTGGCAATGGCAAGGAGATGCCCAGTGGACTGAGGGGATCGGATTGGCCCGGGGCCAGTAGGAACTGGTTTGAGAGTCTGAGGAGGTCTCCACTCTCTGTCCCCTCCTGCTGGTGGGAGGGCAACACGCCAGTGTGGGGACCAGGCCATACTGGCAACTGGGGGAGAAGTCTCATGGGGCCAGGGGAAGGCAGAATGCAAGGGGGAGCCGGGGAAACTGCCTTTTATAGGCACGTTCTCTCCCTTTCCTTTCCCCCCAAGTTCACTCGGCGACAGTGCCGCTGGCAGGCGCCAGGCCTGGCTGTGGTTGGCCTGGGCGGGCGGCACCGTGCGCCCCCTCCCCCATCCCGCCTGCAAGTTGCATGACCTGCATCGGAATCCGCAGGGGGCGGGAGGACCTTTCAGAGGCTGAAAGCAGTGAATTCCGGGTCTTCTTTCCTCGCCTGCCCTCGCCCGAGCGGCTTTCTTCTCCCGTGAATGAATGCTGTGTGTCTGCCTGCCGGGCTCCCTAACCCTTTCTTCTCCTTCCCCCGCCAACGCTCCGGCTTTCTCAGCAAACAGCTCTCACCCTCGGCATGTTGACGTTTTATTTAAAAAATCAAATCAAATCCCGATCGAGACAGAAAGTAGGGACTCCTCCTCTCCCGTGGGGACCTGAGCTCCAGTCAGAGGTCGGCTGCACCTGCTTCGCGCCCCTACCAGGAAGGGGTGCTTGGGTGGGAGGGGAGGAAGGAGGTGCTGCACCCCCGCCCCGAATCCGGGGAAAGC